GGAGCTCAGTTCGTGGCCGAGACTTTTAAAGAAACTTTAAAAATATTAGGCATTCGACATCGAACTACCACTCTATATCATCCGCAATCTAATTTGTCAGAGCGAGTAAATCGAACTTTAAAGCCGATGTTGGCAATGTTTGCTGAAAACGAAAAAGACTCGTGGGATGTACGACTTCGTCAACTCGCTTTTGCCATTCGCACTGGTATAAACGAATCAACAGGCGAAACTCCATCTTTCCTACTTTAATCTAAACATTTATTAGAGATCAATCGCCTAGGCAATGTAGATCTCGATTCCCAATATAGTAAATACAAAGAGCGAACAACAGAGAATGATAAAAAAGATATAAAAGTTACACAAAAAAAAGATGGATATGGTAAAAGAGAGAAGTAACAATAATGATGCGTGTATGCGTGAAGGAAGCGAAAAAACAAATATAATCAAAATTGTATCTAAATGAACATTCCACTGGTGCAGTGACTATTTGTATAAGCATACTATGAATGACAGCTACGACATCAAGTATTATCAAATCTTGATGTGTCTACTATGGAATCAGAAACAGTATAATATATTTTCTTCAACTCGGATATAGAGACTTTGCGGAGATCTCTATGTCTCATCAAAAGATGGTTAATAGTCACATTAGTGTTCGGGAACAAACTCTCAAATTCCTGAAGCATCTTCAAACGCGGTTGAGTATAGTTCTTACATTCAAGTAGATAATGGGATACTCTCTCACGAGCACCGCAAACGCAGGCTGGACTTGGGATGAGCTTACAAGCAAAAAGATCACTGTTCAACTGAGAAAATCCCATTCTCAACCTTGCAAAATTAATATCGGTGTTTCGATCATTGTGTGATGGGATAAGAGGAGGGAAGAAGTCATCCGTCTTCGCCAGAAAGCTACGAAATGTTTTGTGCTTTACACAGGAGCGAAGTCCTGAATCAAGTCCATTCCACAACCTAATGGTGGCTGATATAAATGTGTTCTCATAAACATCTTGCTTTCGTATTTCAACAGGTAACTTATTTTGGACCACGGAATGAGTAGTGAAACAGTGTAAATTTTGATTAGCAGGAATTAAAGACATAATAAAAGATGGGGCAAGATTTCTCATAATTATACGAAAAAAATGTAGTCTGTACCAATCGAACAATTCGTGTATCGGGAGCCAACCTAAGTCAGCCAAAACCTTATCTTTAGACGTACCTTTCATCGCTCCAGCTATCGCAAGACCAACGTGATATGGCAATGTAATCAACCGTGCAGAATTTTTTTCAGTCGTTCCTGAGTAAATTACAGAAGCGTAAATTAAGGTGGTAAGAACAAAGGAGTTGTAGATCAACGTTAAAGCTTTCCTAGAACATACTCCGCTGAGTAGCTTGATAGAACCTATTATTTTCGAGCATTTTACTATAACTTCATCAATGTGCTTAGTCCAATCCAAGCCACTCGTCAGAAGAAGACCAAGATGTCGATGAAAACTCACGATTTCTAATTTATGGCCACCAATATACAATGATGATAAGACAGGTAGTATACGGTGTGACGGAAATAAAAACATTTGAACACATTTGTTGAGATTGATTGGCAAAAGCCAATCATTTAACCACTGTTGGATCGAATTTAAATCCTCATTCATTTGGCTAATAGCTTTAGGCATATTTGCAGCTGTTTCATATAGTGAGACGTCATTAACAAAAGGCTTACATGAACATTTGAAACCAAATGGTAAGTCGTCAATATACAATAAAAAAAGAAGTGGTCCAAGCACCGATCCTTGAGGAATCGCACAAGTGACGTCATTTACATCAGACTTAAAACCCTCACCTATTGTTTTAATCTGGCGGTCACAGAGATAACTTTTAAACCAATTGATGAGCGTCATTGGCATTCCTTTATTGCGAAGTTTTAAGAGTAAACCTTCACGATTTACCCTGTCGAAGGCTTTGGAAAAATTGATAAAACAGGCAACAGTCGACTCACCATTTATGAATCCCTTCGCTACATGATGATTAGATTGAAGGTACTTTACGAAGTTGACACATCATGTCAGAGAAATAATCATAACGCATGGTAGATAGTCTCTAGCGAACACCGACCGAAGGGAGGTGTACGCGTTGTTTTGACGAAGAAGGCCAAACTTTGTCCCCACTTACGTTTCTTTACCAAGGATAAGAAGACTGATAGATTTGGTAATATTACGTTCATTTCGAACATCTGTACGACAGATAAAACTAAATCAAACTACAGAGTCTCGATGAACTATAGCAATTCTTATAAATGTTTCTCACCGGTGAAAACCTAAAGCAAGTGGTTCTGTAAACTAAGATGGGAAATATGGACGTTCTCATCGCGAAAAATATGCATCAATTCTGTAGTAGCAAGATCGAGTTACAACAGAATGAATAATAATTCCGACAGTACACTCAGTGGACTTACAGGCAATGGACCTACTGAATCGATGCGATTCACAATATTTGTCAATATATTGTTGGCCAAATGAGCCAAAAAAAAGAGCATATTTCGAAACCTTTAGCGTCGAGGCTTATTAAATTTAGTTTACATGACCAAATAATAAAGAGTTCAAAATGTCAATCATTGCACAGTTAAATACATAAACGAGTGGAACAGAAAAAAACCTGATATCTTATCATCTAATATTTATTTTGTCATAAAAAGTAATCTGATGTGAGTTGTATTACTTTTCGTTTTTCAAAAATGAAGAAAACAAGAAAGGTGACATTAACACACATGGTTTCACATTATTTGTTATACCGTGCGTGTCAGTTAAACTTCCCCCATTTGTTTTTCTTGCTAAGACTATTGCTTTACTTTTTTTTTCGACAGTCCGTATATAGTGAGAAAGTACACACTTGACTGCATGGCATGGCATATTAATCATATATAGCAAATAAAGTTCAGAGAACAAAACGTACGTCAGAAAAAAAGATGGTATACTTTTTTCACTACAATGTAAGGCCACCTGTTTTTTCAAATGCATCTAGTTTTTCGTGGTAAGAGATGAAGCCTTCAATTATACGGCGTTCGACTCGTCGTTGAATGGCCAAAAATATTATAAACCACTTTTTTAAAATTCCTTTTCATCGCTGAGAGATTTCAGTTTTTCTGAATCTGAAGCGAAAAAGTCGAAATTCTGTCCGTAATTCGCAATGACAACTCAGCTTTTATGTATTAAAAATATCATATTTAGAATCAGGATGAAAACTATGGCGATTGATGTGTGTTTCGAAATATTTAGTTCATTTTCATTTTTTGGCGAACATCTCGATGATTTTTCAACGTGAAGATTCGAGAAAATTGAAAGTACTCGTATAGGACAGAGATACACGTCAGTTAACTCAGTTTTTGATCCTGATTCCGAGCATGATATTTCTGTTACATAGAAGTTGAGTTTTGATTGAGAAAATTGAGAATTGCGAGTAGAATTCAGACTGTTCGCCTCAGATTTAGAAAAAATGAATGTTCTCAGCAATGAAAATGAATTTCAAAACAACGATATATACTTTATTCTATGTTTCAAGGAGAATCTAACGGCATGTGAAAGCTGACTTCATCTCTTAACGAAAAAAAGTAGATAGGTTTGTAAAACGAGTATAATGAAATTGAAGATCTCTCGACTGCATTTGTCGCTCGAACACTTCTTTTCGTTCTGAAACCTTGAAATATACTTTCGTGTATGCAGTTTTTAATACTGAATAAGAAAAACATAGTTTCACTGCTTCGAAATGAGGTGGAACCAAGTTATTCAATTTTTAAAAAAGGTTAGTGGTTTTTCGAGATAAGAGATCCTTCAAGTTTTTTTAATTGTTTTCACTGATAATGTGCACTGGAAAGACTTAAAACCAGATATTCTTGATCGGTGTGAAATTTTCTGTGGAATGATATATAATCAAGCCAAAAATAACGTAGTGTAGTAACTTCGAATTTGGAGCGCCTTACATTGTAGTAAAAGAATATAACATCTTTTTTTCTGATGTATTTTTTGTTCTCTGAACTTTACTTGCTATGTATGAGTAATATGTCATGCCATGCAGTCAAATGTGTACTTTCTCGCTATATACCGACTGTCGAAAAAAAAGTAAAGCAATAGCCTTCAGCAAGAAAAACAAATGGGAGAAATTTAATTGATGCGCACTGTAGTTACTATCGTTCGGTTTCATCATATCTTATTAACCACCATCAAAATTCGCCTTTAAACTATTGGATCTAATATCTGATATGCTGTAAGTGAGAAACAATGTTTAATCATTTAAGAAGTCAAATTATTCATTTACCTTATGATAAAAAAAAATTTTATTCAGTCAATTGTTTCACAAAAGAATTTAGATAAATATTCAAAGCTACTGTGACGTGAATGGTCAGACTATGATTTAAAAGCAATAAATGTTGAAACGCTGGCAAAACAATTTGAAAACCAAGTTGGAGGATTGTTGCTTCATTAAATGTTATTCAAGTTATGTAAGACTTAAAACGTACCTTTTACTGTCGATTTTCCTACTCTAGGACCTTTCGTAAACTGAATATCATTTGACCAAACAACATCAGAGAAAGTTCGTAAACGTCCCGTTTTGTCCAGAAATGTTTGCTCGTCGAATAAGACTGTTGGCAAAAAGTCTGTAATCGACTCACGAGATTTAGTTTTCAGCAGTTTTGATGGAACTTTGTTGTTGGTTAAATAGCTGGAAAAGGATGCACAATGCAACTTTTGTACAATAGAATTAGCGTTATACTCAATTAAAGAGAAAGGACGTCTCATATTTGTCTGTTCACAGATGTTAGTAGGAAGAAAATTTTAAAGTTTCTGAATGACAACTGGAATATACGTTCTACTGCATTGAACGAATATCTACATAAACCTGTTTTTTTGAAGTTACTCATCTGATTAAAAAAGAATTAGTTAAAATAGTGAGTAGAACAATGTTACCTTGTTTTGTTTTCATAGTCGATATTTTTTCTAGATAAACAGCGAATGCCTCGTCTTGATCTACTTATTTTTGGTGCAACAGGATTTACTGGTAAATATATTGTCGAAGAGTTAGCTCGTAAAAGTCACCAACAACAAAAAATAAAATGGGGTGTTGCTGGACGGTCGTTGTTGAAATTAAAAGAAGTTCTAGATGAAATAACAAAAACCACCGGTAAGTGTCATAGACAATCTTTGATTGTTTATCTTGAATATTTGTTTTCATCCAGGAATAGATCTTAGTGCCGTTGAAACAGTGGCAGCTGATGTCAATAATACCGAATCAGTGACAAAAATGTGCCAAAAAACAATTGTATTAATTAATTGTGTTGGACCAGTAAGTTTTATAACTTTAAAAAATGCATCATATAGAAGATAATTCACACATTTTAGTATCGTCTTTATGGTGAGCCAGTTGTACAAGCATGCTTAAATGCAAAAACCAATTATATTGATGTATCTGGTGAACCTCAGGTTTTATGAGTGTGTACTGTGTCTGATTAACATCTATTTCGACATAAAATTTCTAGTTTTTGGAAACAATTCAATTGAAATATAATGATAAAGCAGAAAAAGAAGGTGTTGCTATTGTTGGAAGTTGTGGATTTGATTCGGTTATAGCTGATATGGGTGTGGAAACAATACGTAGAGAATACGAAGCAAAAAACGCTGGTAAAAAAGTAAATCATGTATTTGAAAGAAGACTTCGAACTTTATTCTTATTTAGATATTGGTTATATAGAAAGCTTTTTGAGTGTGAAAGCTGGACTTGCGGTAAGTGAACATGGTATGGCAGTGGAAACGTGAGAAGGCTATTCTAGATGAAAAAGTTTTATTTTTTTATTTAGAATACTGCACTAAACTATGCCACTTGGGAATCAGCCGTTTACGGTTTAACATATGCAAATGAATTGAAACCATTAAGAAAAAAGTTGTTTCCACAACAACTACTTTATACAAAATATAAACGAGAGCGGTAAGATAGCATCAAATCGTGTTAGCGAAAATTGTCTTTAACACCTACTATTTTTAGCGGTCCAGTGTTTCCAACAACGTTCGCCAACCAAAAACGTTGGTGTGTTCCATTTCTAGGTAGTGATAAGTCGGTTGTACAACGAACACAGTATTTTAATTCTGTAAAATTGAACAAAAAACCGGTATGATCACTAACATCGACGATAACCATTAGTACTTCTGCAAGCGTTAACTGAACAGTTTACTAAAAAATAGTTCATATTTTAAGATTTGTTTTCAACCTTATTTTGAAGTATTATCATTAGTTTCGCTAAATAAACTTGTTATCTTCTCAATATTATTCACAACATTAATAAAAAGCCAGTTTGGTATTCAATTGTTACTGAAAGTAAGATATTCTAGTATGAAATTATATTTGAGAATATAGTTAATTTTCGTGTATATTCTAGTTTCCAAGTCTGTTTTCGTTTGGTGTATTCACACGAGACGGACCAACACGTGAACAGGTTCTATTTTAACCTATTTCTGAGGATTTTCTTTTAACCTATTTTGCTCTATTATGTTGCTTTTATAAATAGTGCGAACAGTCATCATTTCAAATGCGGTTTGTCACACGTGGTTGGAAACAACATTTGAATGAAGAACACACAACAGAACCAGATCTTGGAAGTGTTCATGAATTCATTGGAATCGGTAAGAACAAATAAAACAGACGATTGGCATGCACAAATAGTAGATCAATTTCACTTTCCATTGTCAGATCCGGCTTATATTGGTACATCAAAAATCGTATTAGCATGTGCACTAACGTTGCGTGAAGAAAAAGATCGTTTACCATTAAAGTTTGTAAACGAGACAGTATGGAAAAATATAAACTTTCGTTATTCTCGTTACATTTCAGCGGTGGTGTACTTACTCCTGCTGCAGCGTTTTCGTCGACAACACTAATGAAACGTTTAGAAGATGATAATATTGTTTTACATAAAAGACATGAAATTTCTTCCAAACTCTCTGACAATAATACAAGGGCTAAGCTCTAAAAGCATTTTCTTCTGATGTTTCATTCAATAGCGAGTATTTCTTTCATGTTGAACAAGTCACAGTCATCATTAGTATTATTGTTTACTTTACTATTTTATTGATAATTAACAAAAATGGCCAAACATGAATATGATACGTATTTGAGATTTAACACTACAAAATCAGATATGAAACATATTCTCATAATGCTATATACCTATATAGTGTATATATGGTCTTCCATACATTTCATATTCGAACAATGAATATGAGGAATGTCATATATGTTTGAACGATACTTTTGATTGCCGGTATCTACAAGCAAGAGGTGGTAGGATCAGAGTGGATTTCTGAACAACATTTCATGTTTGACTACGTGGACGTCTCCTCGGATTTCATAAGGCTAGTTACAATGATATATAATGTGACGTTCTGGTACGTTTGCATCGCAGTACTAGTGTACCGTAAATGTAATAAATATTCTCGTACAACTGCTCAAAAAACTTTGAGGCCATATGCATGGAACCGTAATTGATTTACGATCTTCACAGTTGGTCATCCAAAATGGTACCAATCGCGTTCTAACACAATAGGGAAAGACCTCGTTTTCTCCCCTGATAGTTGTCGCATATTTTAGTTTCCACTAAAAATAATTGTCTATAGCTTTCGTCATACATTCAAAAAGAACGTCGCGTTGGTAGTGTAACGGTTAGCATGCTTGCCTTTCAAGTAGCCAACCCGAGTTCGACTACCGGCTAATGCACATTCCTTTTTTCCATTGCATCCCTCTGATATTTTGACATTCTTTCACTCTTTTACGGTTTTTATAAAACTAAGTATATTTAATATGGTTGAAAAACATTTTTGTAAAATCATTTTACACAAGAAGCGAGCTTCCGATACATCACAGTATCATCATCAGGCTAATATGACAGTGAATTTAGAAGAGAGATGAATAACTAGTATGTATATTCATCTCTCTTCTAAATTCACTGTCATATTAGCCTGATGATGATACTGTGATGTATCGGAAGCTCGCTTTTTGTGTAAAATGATTTTACGAAACTCAACCCTCTGATATTGTACGTCACATATTATATTGTTTTCTTTTCTATTCTCGATTGTTTGCAGCTTCCGAAACACTGTGGACGTTTCTACGGCTTTTGGTCTTAGAAAGTCTAAACATAAATCTTCTCCAAAACAGGGATGGCGGCAACTTTCAGAATTTGTTCTACGACCGAAATAATTACTTTTGTCTATCTTTGCGCAAGTTTTTTTCGAAAACGTTTTTGGTGAAATTGCTGTATCCGATATATCATTCGACGCAGTTTCGTGCGTGTATGCCAGATATGCTATAGATTTGAATAAACACACTTGTGAAAAACTCGAAAAGAATTCTCGAGACGAGGAAAATCAGAGATAGTCTTGATGGTTATTTACAATATTTTGCTCAATTATATCTCAGTAGAATTTGTACTGAGCAACAAAGAAACTTTATTAGTGCAAAAAATTACAGACAAAAAACATATTTCACAATATCGAGCTAAACTCGAATTAACAAGCCATAATAATAGTGTTCGAGAGCTGTTCTACTCTGTTCACGTAAACTAGCAAATCAATAAACCGTTTTTGAACGTCCACAACAAAGATAAATCAACAGGCCTAGAGTAATGAACACAATAGAAAGCGGATCAAATTTTTGAAAAGGCGCACAATACATACCAAAAACCGGGAAGAGCAGAATTAACAAGATCCAACATAGTTTTGAGCAGATGCCTTGATCCGATTTTAATACTTCAAAGATGGCAATAATATCCAAGATCAAGATGATCTAAAAAAAGATTCTTCTGCAACAAAGTGGTTTTCAAATAGCTTGCTTTTGAAATTGCATGAAATGAATGGGTGTAAGAGAAACTTTGCAAAAAAAATTGGGATTATGAATCAAATTTGCAGACTATCTACCGCATAGTTTTTATGAAAACCTAGTTTCAGAACATGACCCTCACCCAAAAAAAGCAGTATATAAAGCATACTCACCAAGCCTAAAATGGCACTAATGGTTCCGCCAATCTTATATGACCCCCATTGAATTTCTCCTGCACTGACTATTGATATTAGATTTTGACAAAAGATTGTCAAGAACCACAAGTGAATCGATTTGCTGTTGTTTGTAGGAAGCATTTTTATTTTAATATTAACTAATGAACCAAAAGAGCAAATAAATTCAAAACGTTGCTCACAACAAAATAACTGTAATTTTTACTTGATACAATTCTATATATTTATTCGATTCCTCTGAAATGGACAAGATTAAAATGTCTGAATTTTGTCTGTTTAATTTTTCTGTTCTTCTTTTCTATTTTCTATAGCTCGTGTGTGTGACTGTACATTTTTAAGTATATTACATAACCGTAGTATTACACTGTAATGTTGTTTCCTATACGCCAGACAATCATCTGATGCCGCCCCGTTCATCCTTTCCTCTTTCTAGACGGACGATACGACAGCAAAATGAAGACGAAGAAAAATATTATCACTAACTGCAGTGTTTGTACAGTATGGTCCACAAAGACGAAAATCGAATAGAATGGAGAGTTTATAATAACAGTTTCTAACTAACGGAGGAGCTTTTTATTTCAAAATTGATGTCTCATTTTTCCACACTTAGATCTCATAGTTTAAGGATTTTATTCCACTATCAAATACCAGTGAGCTTGACTATTCCTATCTGTGGCTTGTGGCTACTCCCTTCTCTTCATGTAAAAAAGAAGCAAAATATGTGGTTAGAACAAAGAAGAAAATAACACCAGTTGCTAAAACAAAGTCATTGTGAAAGTTATCAAGTTTAAATCGAAAGAAAGATGCACAGATTCACGGACGCTAGTAGATGATTGTCCCGCGTACAAGAAGCTTTTATCAGAATCACTCAAATATATAGGACAGTATGAAGTAGAATCAGAATTTTTTTTTTGTTGTGTGCAACGTGTTTTCTCTAAGACCAGAAGGCATAAAAACGTCCACAGCATTTCGGAACCTGCAAACAAAGGTGTATACTGGACTTTAATAGAACTTCTAAAAAGCAACAGGGGATACTTTACTTTTCGACAAGGATTTCTTGAAATCATCAGAAGTTAGAGTGGAACAATATCAATAACACTTACTCTTCTTTATAATAAATCTTTATCAACTGGTATATTTCCTGACTCATGTAAGGTAGGACGTGTTTTAACTTGTTTAAATCTGCTGATGCTAAAATGCCATTCAGCTGCATGTTTATTACGTGGTTAAGCAGTATTTTCAAAGTATATGGATCCATGGTATATAAATACTTCTGGAAGTCTGGACCAATTCGAAGAATATTATATATTACTACTGTTATTTATATTAAAAGTGTATTAACAGGTTATGAATATTTAAAAAGTTCTGATATTTTTTCCCTACCTCATCTACGTATACGAGTATTTTTAGGTTGCTTTTTTCTAAAGCTGTCAGATGGGTTTTCTTCAAAAGTTATGCTGAGTTTCCAGAAAACGCTATAAAAACGATTTCTCAGGACGAAAGGATCTGCTAGGAAATGGAACTTGGGTTTTCCCCATACAATAAAGAGATTCATAGTCTCAATTATCACTTTTTGCTCCCGACTAAGAGTAAAACGTTCACGATGAACGCTTGACTTTCTTAAAAAGTTGTTTATGCGTGAAAAATCGTATCACTGTTTTGAAATTTCGACGTTTACCAACATCTTCATCAGTAGCAACAAATTTTAAAAAATGTTTACAGTGGAATCAAAAATATACGTCTGTAGTTAGATGTTAAATCTGCAGTTATGGCCTTTGACGAACAATTTGTTTCTAACTATATATTTTTTTCTCTCTCTCTTTTCTTTCCGTCTATTTCTTATTTTCTTTTTCTCATATCATATATGACCTCACATATGACGAAGAACTAAAACGAACAATCAAAATGAAACGAAACAAGAGATGAATGATGTGAAAACATAAAAATAAACTAGTCAAGTGACATATCAAACTCTAACTAAGAAAAAGTCACATCGAAGAATCAGATCAAAGTGGATCTTCTATCTCATAAAATCTTTGACCACTGCATGGTTTCACCCATTTTCTTATAGTAGATTTCCATTGTGGGCTATAGTCTTACATCTATTATACCCCCGGTTTGCTATAGTGTATACTGATTCCAGTATCTTTCTCCTAAATACATTTTTCTCTTTATCATAAACTACACTGTCTTCAAAGTTGATATCACATGCGTTTTCATTTTGAAAATGTTTTGCTAATTCAGAGTTTTCTCATCTTTATTTTCTTTTGATGTTGTACTATCCTCTGTTTAAACGATATAGTCTCTCCAACGTACGTATCACCACAAAAACAAGGAATTCCATATATCGCAAACTCATTTAGATGTTCCTTCTTATTGAGATATTTTTATATTTTTTTACTGTTTATTTCAAAATTATTATTACCTAATGCTATTTTCTTTGACTTATTTAGGATAGCTCCTAACCCACGTCTTGCAGAAATAGAAAATCTGCACAAGTTCTTTAAAGACTTTTTTTCTTGAAAATTCTTGATCAAGAACATCAAGATTTATTGATACCTCTGCACTTGATGTCCTTGGAAAAACTTGATCAAGATCTTGATCAAGATTTACTACGGTTTCAAGTCTGATGTATCTTGAGAATTCTGTATCAAGATCTTGTTGTTGT